AGCCAGGCAGGCAGGCAGCGGGGCAGGCGCTCGCCGCTCCAGCAGCCTCCGCGAACGAGCGAGCGAGCAGCGAGCGCCTCCCGAGGGACCAGGCGCCCACAGACAGCACGCGTGGCGCAGCCGAGCCGCGCCTTCCAAGAGGCCTGCAACGCGCCCAGCCATCTCCTTTATGTTCTCTCTACAAACTTTACTTTCCCCCTTCATCGTGTGCTACAAGATACGCATTTCTACAAGAAATTACTCCAACGTCTCTCATATTACATCAACTATTAACTCCAAAGAGGGCACTTTGTTAACGATTTCAGAAATGTGTTACACCTTGATTCAAGACAAAAATCAATACCTTGACACAGAAGGCAACTGAACTATCCATTTCAAAGAGAGGGAGAGAGAAAATTTCTCTGGAGAAAAGATAGTTAAAGGTCCAGATGAGATCCGCGTGATTAAGATTTTATGTTGATCTCCGACGTTCCTCAAAGTAAGTTGGAAATGGAGAATCGGCCGGAAGAAACTTCTGCACAAGAATTATTTGCGATTAAGGTAATTACACTGGATCCAGTAATGACTCTTCGAAAGCCAAGACTATATTAAAAGCCTACAATTGTAAGATGACTCATAAAAAGTAATTACCTTACTTTTATCTTTGCCCTTACAAAAATGCTGATACTTGGATTGCATCAATGTCGCTTCCTTACTCCGTAAAACTTCCTTTTTTTACCAACATTATAATATTACTCTAGCTGTAATGTTTCCCCGCTGGGCATGCTTTGAACGTTTTGGACTCGAAAACAATTTAAAGCGTTTTTGATGGTGAAGAACACCGCTTTGGGCTGCAGGTACGTTTGCACAACGTTCGAAGTGCGCCCAACAGATGGCAGGCGCTTCGCACGGGGGCCCCGAGTGCCGCGCCGTGCCGAACGGCGCGCGCGTTGTCAACAGAGGCGCAGGACGCGAAGTTCAAGTGCGAGCAGCTGAAGCCGGAGATGAAACTCCACGAAACTTCTTACGCCAGCACCGACCACCGCCAATGTAGTTTCACTTTTCACTCGTAGTGTATTTTTAACGCTTCAATCGAGATGGGTCATCTCGGTTACAACGCATTGAGAACGAAACGTTATCGAGAGTAGAGCTCTATGCCAGTTAAAAATACGACGCAATTATTAATATAATTGCCCATTACGTGCGTAGTGTTGACATTTATTTATTTCAATAGATCAATCAAATTATTATTGAATGTGTGTTATA